AGCTCCAGGTTTAGAAACACAGGTTTTTGATATGATTTTATTTTGTATTTTTTTCAATTGCTTCAGACTTATAGGCAACATATTTATGTTTTTTTCTTCAATTAAAGACTGAAACATTTTGGCTTCACATGAGAGAAAGCCACCTAGTAAGGAAGGCCTCAAGTTCTCAACTTTAAATCAGCAATGACCAATTTTCATCAATATCTGTGGTGAATAAAGCTGCTTCCTAACCTGCACCTTTCCTTTTTGACCAGCAGAGTGCAGCAGAGAGGCCTTTTAACTGATGAGCCTTATTTTAATCTTTAATTAGATGATATCTTCACCTTCATGTAAAGATCTGTCTTTTATGTTAATGACCTAATATATATATTTGGGAGAATGAGATAAAAAAGACTGAATTAGAAATCTACATTTGTTAAAAACAGAACTCTTGGTTTTCTTAATGTCATTTTGTTTTATACAAGTGTAAAACAAAAAGACATTTTGTTAAGAACAGCTCTTTAGACAATTTATCTCGTTTTTAATGCTCAACCTTGAAAATAGTGGAAAAAAATACATAAAAACAGTAATATTAACATATGACTATATATTTACAGTTCTAACATTTCAGGGGGGGGGGGGTTGGTTTTTAATGAAATATAATAAATACAATAAAAGAACCCATTTTACATAACATTAAGCAGTCTAATGGCAGTGGGGAAGAAACTAAGGGCGTAGGTTTGATGTGAACGTCGGTACGGACAATATTGGTCTTCAGTTTCATTGGTCCTTTGCAGAAATATTCCTGCTCTGTTTTCTGCTTAATCTGAGCATCAGGACATATTTAGTTTAAAGACAACAGCAGCATTTCTGCTACATTAATACTGATCTTATTAGCACTACACTCACTAGATGCTGTTTATCAACGTTTAAAGCATCACTGGCTCTGATCAATGTGGAATTAGGACTTTATTCCACTTTGAAAAGGTTTGCATTTAAACTTACCAGCAACTAAGACAGAAGATAAATATTTAACCCCTGGAGCCCCATGAAGGAGACCAGAGGATAAGTACATGATAAAAAAGGACCCAGAAATAAAAACCTCCCAAAAATACACCAAAACTAAAATGGATAACTTATGACATTAAATTTATGCCAACAATAAAATTGATAAAAGCTATTTATTTTGGATGCACCCAGAAATAACTGCTTGGTGCCTTCTAGAGAAGATGGAAGGATTGAGAATTTCTAAGCACTGCCTCACAATTACCAACTAAGTAACTGTGAGTTTATCCATTATCTTCAGATTAGAGACTACTACCACATAGAAATGAAGGTAGAGCCCTCTGGAGATGGACTAAAGCGGTTGATCTAAAAGTGCTAATGCTAGTATAGTCTCTTCATTCTACAAAGCCTTAGTATATTAGGATAAACAAATGACCCAACAGGTGAGAACATAATGAGAAAAAGAATTGGACATCATAATTAGTGACAGGGACTGGTTACAGTCATCAGTGTAAAACTACAAACTCCCGGACATGGTAGGAGTTCTAAGGTTGGAAAAACCTCATCCGTTTCTAAACACACCAAATATTCAAAACAAGCAGTTAAAGTTGCCACAAGCACGTTGGAGAGGATGAAGCCGACCATTCATAGATATTCTGGAAATGTCCTAAACTTCTACAATACTGGAATATTGTTCATTATGTCTTATGTCAAGTTTGGTTTATAGAATACCAATAAAACCTGAACTATAATAATCATGTAACCTCAGTGACGACACAATTCATAAAGAATTATGAATATCTGACTAAGATAAGTTTGCTAGCAGCTAAAAGGTGTTTCAGGAGGAATTGGATGAAGATCAAGTTGCCAACGAAGGATCAATGGAAACCTACCATGGAAGACAAAGCAGTAATGGAAAGGCTAATGTATAGAATAAGACTATAGAAAGCACTCATGGACCAAAAATAAAAAAACAAATACCTTACTTACAAGAAAGAAAATTGTGTCTCCCAGACACATCTTTTTTTTCCATTTTGTCTTTTATTTTCTCATTCTATATTCTATGTCATTCATATCCTTCAAAAGACTAATAAAATATCAGTGACAAAAAAACAACAATCCTAATAAAGAGTTTTTATTTATACCTGCTGTGATAGACTGACTGAGAATCCACAGCATCATTTACACACCGTTTATTTCCTAAACTTAAAACTATAAATAATCAGATTGGTTCTATATTAATATATCACTGTATCACTGAACAATACTGCAGAGGAAACCATCTAATTTATTCCCCTTCACAAATGAATGATTTTTAAAGAGTTTACTAGTTACCTGCATACTACCTAAAACGTAAACCCCTTGTAAAAGAAGAGCTTTAAAAATATATTTGTAAAGGTTCTCAGTTCTCCAGGTTATAGTCATTCCGAAAAAATTAAAAACAATCCACTGGACTTGGTTTCCAAGTTTGAAGAAGAAAGTTTGAAGAAACTCTTCAAACTTGGAAAACAAGTCCAGTGGATTGTTTTTAATTTTTTCAGAACTTTAAAAATAAAAAATGGCTCGCTGGTTTAATGCAGAGCTTTGCACTTTGAAGCAAAATGCCAGGAAACTGGAAAGAAAATGGCGTTCTACATGGCTACGGGAATCATACTTCGTCTGGAAAAATAGTTGATGGCTGTATGAAATTACAAGAATAAGAATAATAGATTTATTTTAAAAACATCTGCCAAACTTACCCAGAGCCATAGCTCTGTTGAACCATCCATACCACTTGCTCTTAGTAGTGATATCTTTAGGGGATTCTTTATAAATATGATTGTTTCCATTAAAATAATCTATCTCTGTTACAGGGATATGTACCAAGGCTTTTAAGGTTGCTGTAATTAAACCTCTGCTTAAGAAACCGTCTCTTGACCCAGATGACTTGGTCAATTATAGACCTATATCCAATCTTCCTTTCTTATCCAAAATTCTTGAGAAAGTAGTTGCCAAACAAGTTTGCGATCACTTCCACCATAATGAACTTTTTGAAGAGTTTCAGTCTGGCTTTAGAGCTCATCATAGCACTGAAACAGCTCTGGTGAAAGTCACTAATGATATTCTCATGGCCTCAGATAATGGACTTGTATCTGTGCTCGTCCTGTTGGATCTCAGTGCTGCATTTGATACAGTTGATCAGAATATTCTTTTAGAAAGACTTGAATATTTTGTTGGAATTAAAGGGACAGCACAAGACTGGTTTAAATCTGATCTATCTGATCTCATTTTGTTCACGTTAATTACAAATGTTCCTCATGCTATATATATGCTCTGTAACGTTAGAATTATTTACATTGATATACAGTATATATATATTTTCTCTATATATATATACTCTAAAAAAAAAACTGTTTTCTCACCCCTGGTGGGGTGGTATGTGTCATCCTCAAGCTGGGGTCCTCTACCAGAGGCCTGGGAGTTTGAGGGTTCTGCGCAGTATCTTAGCTGTTCCTAGGACTGCGCTCTTCTGGACAGAGACCTCTGATGTTTTACCTGGAATCTGCTGTAGCCACTCTCCCAGTTTGGGGGTCACAGCTCCCAGTGCTCCAATTACCACTGGCACCACTGCTGCTCTTACTTTCCACATCTTTTCTAGCTCCTCCTTCAGTCCTTGGTATTTCTCAAGCTTCTCATGTTCTTTCTTCTTGATGTTGCTGTCGCTTGGGATTGCCACATCTATCACTACTGCCTTCTTCTGCTGTTTGTCCATCAACACGATGTCTGGTTGGTTAGCCATCACCTGTTTGTCAGTCTGGATCTTAAAGTCCCATAGGATCTTAGCTCGATCATTCTCAACTACCTTAGGAGGTGTCTTCCATTTTGACCTTGGGACTTCCAGCCCATACTCATGGCAGATGTTCCTGTACACTATGACAGCTACCTGGTTGTGGCGTTCCATGTATGCACTTCCTGCCTGCATTTTACACCCCGCTGTTATGTGCTGTATTGTTTCAGAGGCATCTTTGCACAGTCTGCATCGGCAAACTTGGTACTGATGAAAAAAAAAGTATATATATATATATATTTAGATTAGATTAGATTAGATGAGCTTTATTGATCTCACAGTGGAGAAATTTACTCGTCACATATTGGCATAGAAGTTAAAAAAGGTTTGGGAAAAAGGGGGTGCTTAAAAATAAGCTATATATAAGTTTATCCGGTATATACGATATCAAAAATAAATAGGATTAAGGTGAAATTTTTGTAAAATTATATTTTATTTTAATATTTTATATTATATATATTATTATTTTTAAAATTTTATATATATTATATTTATATATTATTTATATATATTTAATAAAATATAGGTTTTTTGGAATTTCATTCTTGCATCAGTGGCCAAAATTGGGTTTTAAAAGGGTAGGTTTTAAAATTTTCCTTTTTGATAAAGTTTCTGTTAGAGGGGCCCTAGGTTACCCTGATCTATCTTATAATTTTCTGCTGTTTATAGGTTTTTAGACTGCTGGAGGACATCCCGGACCCTTTTTCATCTTTTTCTTAATATTACAAATTTTAAATTCTCGAAAAAAAAGAAAAAACATTCCCCCGGGCCCTCATACCCCTTCTTTCCTGCAGTGGGGGAAAAAAAAAAAAAAAAAAATGAAAAATTTATAAATATTTTTTACCTCAACCTTTTAAAATTTAAAAAAAAAATGTTTGGAATATGAATGGGATTTGTTTGGGCTTTTATTTTTAAAGGGCCCCCTCCCTCCAAACACTGGGGGGGGTGGGGGGGAAAGGGGGGGGAGGGGGGGGGGGGGGGGAAGGGGTCCAGGTTTCGGAAAGGTTAGCTCCGAAGAGGGAATCCAGGGGCTGTTGCTCGGAAAAACCGCTGAGAATGGGGCCTTGGGTCGGTTCCTCAGCTGAGCCCAAACGGTGGCCAAAAAGCAATCCGGTTTTGAACCAGAACCAAACAGAGCCCAGGTTGGCGGGAAAGGGTGCGGTTCCCGGGAGCCCCCCTTTGTTTTTTTGGGGCAGGAAACGGTGGGGGAGGGCGGACTGTGAGGCTTTGGCGGTGAAACATGAACAGGAGCCAGCGGGTAGCGAGCAGCCGAACTCTGAGCTCCGTGGAGGTGAAGAGCAAGGTGAGCGTCCCGCTGATAGCCGCCGCTAAGTAGCTCCAGCCTGGAGCTAACAGCCCGCAGACATTTTCAGGGAAGTGTTGAAGTTTTGTGCTGGGGGGGGGAGGGGGGGGTCAAATCCCCGTTCCAAAGTGCTTGCCTTGCTGCTCCCCCAAACCTGGGCCGCTGCTGCCCCGGGTGGAGGGGGGAAAAGGGGGTCTGCCGGCAGCAGCGGAGCCTTAAACGGGGAGGTGGGGGATGGATTCAGAAAGGATGGAGGATCCCGCCCCGAAAAAAAAGTTTTACCGATAAAGCTTTTCCCCCTTTGGGGGTAACAGTTTATTTAAAAGGGTGCAGGAAAAAAAGATTAATGGTTTTTAATCCACAGCTTTTTTTCTGCTTAAGGGAGGGGCGGGGTTAGGAAAAAATTGGGGGCCCCTAGGCCCCAAAACAGGCAGGGGGCCCCCTTTAAAGGGGAACATAAAAAAATTTTAAAACCCGGGGTCCCAGGAAAAAACCCCCGATCGCCCCGGGGCAAGTAGTTTTTATTTTTTGGGGGGTTTCAAATTTATCAATCCCAAATGCTTTTAAAATTTACGACATTTTAAAGAAAAGAACCCCCGAAACGTTGTGGGGCCCATTTTTGTTGTTTTGTTAAAAATTCCGTGTAATTTGAAAAAACCGGGTGATTTTTTTGCCAGATGGCGTGATTTTTGTTCGGGGAAATTTGGGGCGAATAGGGCACATTTTTTCGAAATTGGGAAAGGCCCAAACAAAAAAAACCCCCAAAAAAGGCAAAAAAGTAGGGGTAACACCCCCCACCCATTTTAAACCCCACCCCGATAACCCCCAGATTAAAAAAGAAACGGTCAGGGGAAATAGGAAAAAATTTGCATAAAACTTTTCGCCTGCGCTTTTAAATGTAAATATGGATATTATTCGGCGTCTTCTGTACAGTGTTTAGGTTCCAAAACATAAAAAAAAAGTTCATTATTTTTTTTCCTTTTAGGACTTTTTAGGGTGCATTTAAATGTTTAAAAGCTAAAACTTGTTTTGATTGGTGACCCGGGTTTTTTTATTTTTATTTTGTTTTTTTGAAATCGTTAAAAGTCAGGAAAATTTTGAAATGATGTCAGGAAGGGGAAACTGAATTAAAAAAAAATGATGATTCTTTAGAAAAATACATTATTTAATTTGTTTTTTTATTAAACATACCCGGGGCTCTAAAAAAAAAGTTATTCAAATTTGTGCCATTTACTTTTTGTCTGGTGATTTTTCTTAAGGTTTTTTAATGTCAAGTTTTGTTTTTGATTTTTAAAAATTTTTAATTTATATTTTTCCAAGGCAGAAACAGGTTTTAAAACAAAAAATTTAGTTTTTAAAAGCATTTTTAAAAACGGTTTAAAGTAGGTTGAGGGTTTATTTTTTTGGGCGCAAAGCAGATACACCCCAGGAACCTGGAAAACCTTTTAAAAAATACTTTAATTACAAAAAAACAGGGGTTTTTTTTTATAAAATTTCAAAAATGAAAAATTTTAGCAACTATATTTATCAAACATTATACTGGGCAAGTAAAAATAGTTTCTGGGCAAATGAAATGTGAAAGTCACTTGCCTGAAGGCAAGTGGTAAAAATCCTTAACATCACCCCCTCTGTCACCAATTAAAAATCAATCCAAATAAAGAAAATCATCAACCAGTAAAGGTCCGGAGACATTTTTAATTATAATCCGTTACATTAAAAAGAATTTAATACTGAAATAAAATGAGGTTTTTATGCATCCATCTTATACAGTCACTTTTTAAATAAAAAAAAGAAAAATAAATAAAAGTAGAAAATTTTTCAATCTTAAAATATAAATTTTTTTTAAGTAGAGAACAACAATAGTTCAGTTTGGTTTATAGATAGTTTCCTGATTCCCATATTTTCTCAAACAGCTGAACTGATCGTTTGTTATTTTCTTTCTTTTTTCTGTCTTAATGAGAGCTAGAGGTGGAACGGTTCACAAACTCCACGGTTCGGCTCGGTTCACGGTTTTCGGTTCGGTATATGATGATTGTTAGGAAGATCTATTATGTCTTGTATAGTACAAAATGTGTTGCACAATGCTTGCACACTGTTGCACTTTTATCCCCAGCTTTCTTTCCGCCGTCATCGTAGGTCACTCTAAATGCAAAGTGGTCCCATACAGCAGACCCATAAAGTGCTGCTGGCGCGTCTTCCAACTCCTGTTCTTTCCCACTCGCCATACCCACACAATTCTCCAACACTGCTCTTTGCATGGTTTGTTTTCAAATGGTTTGCTGCTGTCTGTTTGGACCTTTCTGAACATGTGCAGCAAATGGACTGATCCAATATGGTGGACACTGAAGGGGGGGGGCTGAGACACACTTAATATTATCAGCGTTCTGATGGCATTTTAGCCAAAGGATTTTTATCAAAAACATAATTAATGTGCAGAAATAAGGAATAGTTGGATGAACCATACATGGAAAAGGAATTTATGGGGCCCCCAGGAACTTGTGTCCCCAGGAACTTGGGGCCCTAGGCAGCTGCCAAGTTCTGGATGATATGTTGAACTGTAAAGTTCCTTGAATTGAATTGGATGTGGGGGCGGGGTAAAAACCAGTAGGTTTTACTGGGATCCCAGTTTGCTGCAGACTGAGTGGTAAAAACGGACCAGGATGACGTGCGACTACTTTTCCTTTTCTCCTCTGACCTGTCTCCCATGTGTGGCCAATTTGGCAGCCAGTTGCAGCTCATCTTTTGTGTTTCCTTGGCAACAGTAACCACAACAATGGGGCTGCTTGTCAACATCAGCAGGCTGTCTGTTCAGATCGGACCATGGACCCGGCCTCCTGAGGGACTGTTTTGCTTTCTGCACAGCAATAGCTGACCCTGGCATTAAATGATGAATAAATCAGAAAATGTCCCTCAGTCCTCTAACCTCAGCTGTCCCCCCTCCCCCACCCTGTTTTCCTCCCTCCAGTTTGGCGCAGAGTTCCGTCGGTTTTCTCTGGACCGGTCCAAGCCGGGCCGCTTCGATGAGTTCTACGGCCTCCTGCAGCACGTGCATCGCATCCCCAACGTGGAGCTGCTGGTGGCCTACGCCGACGTACACGGCGACCTGCTGCCCATCAACAACGATGACAACTACCTGAGGGCGGTGAAAAGCGCCAGCCCTCTGCTCAGGCTCTTCCTGCAGAGGAAAGGTGAGGACAGCTCCTTGGAGAAGCGCTGCTGGACCTTAGACCAGTTCACTCCAGTCTGGGGGGAGGAAGCAGCTCTGCACCCGCCCCCCCGTTACTGCAGTCATTCATTAATAAAAGGATTATTTAGAGATGCCTTGGAGGGCCTCTTGGCCATCACACTAATGTTCAGGCTGCCAGGCAGGCTGTGGCGTCTCTGAGAGCAGTGATGATTGGACGGTGAAATATTCTACTTACTGCACCTGAAGCTGATGGGGGGGGGGGGGGGGGGGGTGTTGGGCTGTCCCTATGGAGGGTAAGCCACTTGTTGGGGGGGTGGGGATTAGTGAGGTGACGGCGTAGCGCTGCCCCCCCGCTGGGTTCACTGCTGCTCACCAACGCGCTGCAACCTGCTAACGGCACGCAGCTGAAACAAAGGAAGGACCAGATGATTCCTGAGCTTTAGGAAGCCTTTAGGAAGCCTTTAGGAAGCCTTTAGGAAGCCTGTAGGAAGCCTTTAGGAAGCCTGTAGGAAGCCTTTAGGAAGCTTTTAGGAAGCCTGTAGGAAGCTTTTAGGAAGCCTGTAGGAAGCCTGTAGGAAGCCTTTAGGAAGCCTGTAGGAAGCCTGTAGGAAGCCTTTAGGAAGCCTGTAGGAAGCCTTTAGGAAGCCTTTAGGAAGCCTTTAGGAAGCCTGTAGGAAGCCTTTAGGAAGCCTGTAGGAAGCCTTTAGGAAGCTTTTAGGAAGCCTGTAGGAAGCCTGTAGGAAGCTTTTAGGAAGCCTGTAGGAAGCCTGTAGGAAGCTTTTAGGAAGCCTTTAGGAAGCCTTTAGGAAGCCTGTAGGAAGCCTTTAGGAAGCCTGTAGGAAGCCTTTAGGAAGCTTTTAGGAAGCCTGTAGGAAGCCTGTAGGAAGCCTGTAGGAAGCCTTTAGGAAGCCTGTAGGAAGCCTTTAGGAAGCCTGTAGGAAGCCTTTAGGAAGCCTGTAGGAAGCCTTTAGGAAGCCTGTAGGAAGCCTTTAGGAAGCCTGTAGGAAGCCTTTAGGAAGCCTGTAGGAAGCCTTTAGGAAGCTTTTAGGAAGCCTTTAGGAAGCCTGTAGGAAGCCTTTAGGAAGCCTGTAGGAAGCCTTTAGGAAGCCTGTAGGAAGCCTTTAGGAAGCTTTTAGGAAGCCTGTAGGAAGCCTGTAGGAAGCCTGTAGGAAGCCTTTAGGAAGCCTGTAGGAAGCCTTTAGGAAGCCTTTAGGAAGCCTGTAGGAAGCCTGTAGGAAGCCGGTAGGAAGCCTTTAGGAAGCCTGTAGGAAGCCTTTAGGAAGCTTTTAGGAAGCCTGTAGGAAGCCTTTAGGAAGCTTGTAGGAAGCCTGTAGGAAGCTTTTAGGAAGCCTGTAGGAAGCCTGTAGGAAGCTTTTAGGAAGCCTTTAGGAAGCCTGTAGGAAGCCTTTAGGAAGCCTGTAGGAAGCCTTTAGGAAGCCTTTAGGAAGCTTTTAGGAAGCCTGTAGGAAGCCTGTAGGAAGCCTTTAGGAAGCCTGTAGGAAGCCTTTAGGAAGCCTTTAGGAAGCCTGTAGGAAGCCTTTAGGAAGCCTTTAGGAAGCCTGTAGGAAGCCTTTAGGAAGCCTGTAGGAAGCCTTTAGGAAGCCTTTAGGAAGCCTTTAGGAAGCCTGTAGGAAGCCTTTAGGAAGCCTTTAGGAAGCCTGTAGGAAGCCTTTAGGAAGCCTGTAGGAAGCCTTTAGGAAGCCTGTAGGAAGCCTTTAGGAAGCCTGTAGGAAGCCTTTAGGAAGCTTTTAGGAAGCCTGTAGGAAGCCTGTAGGAAGCCTGTAGGAAGCCTGTAGGAAGCCTGTAGGAAGCCTTTAGGAAGCCTGTAGGAAGCCTTTAGGAAGCCTGTAGGAAGCCTGTAGGAAGCCTGTAGGAAGCCTGTAGGAAGCCTGTAGGAAGCCTTTAGGAAGCCTTTAGGAAGCCTGTAGGAAGGCTGTAGGAAGCCTGTAGGAAGCCTGTAGGAAGCCTGTAGGAAGCCTGTAGGAAGCCTTTAGGAAGCCTGTAGGAAGCCTTTAGGAAGCCTTTAGGAAGCCTGTAGGAAGCCTTTAGGAAGCCTGTAGGAAGCCTTTAGGAAGCTTTTAGGAAGCCTTTAGGAAACCTGTAGGAAGCCTTTAGGAAGCCTGTAGGAAGCCTTTAGGAAGCCTATAGGAAGCCTTTAGGAAGCTTTTAGGAAGCCTGTAGGAAGCCTTTAGGAAGCCTGTAGGAAGCCTGTAGGAAGCCTTTAGGAAGCCTGTAGGAAGCCTTTAGGAAGCTTTTAGGAAGCCTGTAGGAAGCCTTTAGGAAGCTTTTAGGAAGCCTGTAGGAAGCTTTTAGGAAGCCTGCAGGAAGCCTGTAGGAAGCTTTTAGGAAGCCTGTAGGAAGCCTTTAGGAAGCCTGTAGGAAGCCTTTAGGAAGCCTTTAGGAAGCTTTTAGGAAGCCTGTAGGAAGCCTTTAGGAAGCCTGTAGGAAGCCTGTAGGAAGCCTTTAGGAAGCCTTTAGGAAGCCTGTAGGAAGCCTTTAGGAAGCCTGTAGGAAGCCTTTAGGAAGCCTGTAGGAAGCCTTTAGGAAGCCTTTAGGAAGCCTGTAGGAAGCCTTTAGGAAGCCTGTAGGAAGCCTTTAGGAAGCCTTTAGGAAGCCTGTAGGAAGCCTTTAGGAAGCCTGTAGGAAGCCTTTAGGAAGCCTGTAGGAAGCCTTTAGGAAGCCTGTAGGAAGCCTTTAGGAAGCTTTTAGGAAGCCTGTAGGAAGCCTGTAGGAAGCCTGTAGGAAGCCTTTAGGAAGCCTGTAGGAAGCCTGTAGGAAGCCTGTAGGAAGCCTGTAGGAAGCCTTTAGGAAGCCTTTAGGAAGCCTGTAGGAAGGCTGTAGGAAGCCTGTAGGAAGCCTGTAGGAAGCCTGTAGGAAGCCTGTAGGAAGCCTTTAGGAAGCCTTTAGGAAGCCTGTAGGAAGCCTGTAGGAAGCCTTTAGGAAGCCTGTAGGAAGCCTGTAGGAAGCCTTTAGGAAGCCTGTAGTAAGCCTTTAGGAAGCCTTTAGGAAGCCTGTAGGAAGCCTGTAGGAAGCCTTTAGGAAGCCTGTAGGAAGCCTGTAGGAAGCCTTTAGGAAGCCTGTAGGAAGCCTGTAGGAAGCCTGTAGGAAGCCTTTAGGAAGCCTTTAGGAAGCCTGTAGGAAGCCTCACATGATGGTTCTGATTCTTTCTCTGCTTTATAACTGAACCTTCTGGCATCTTCAATCCTTTCTCACTGGAAGGCATTAATCTGAACCCAGGAAACATGAACAACTTCTGAAATATCTGCTCTCTACCATAAATCAAAGTTTAGATCAGGGGTTCTTTCCTTTGGTCCTCAGAGGCCACCGTCCTCCATGTTTGAAGAGTTTCCCTGCATCTTCAGCATCTGATGGCGGCAGTCAGGAGAAGAGACTCTGGAACAGGAAGGACTGAATTTCCTAACATCCTAGAATCAGCCGATCAATCAGGGAAGCTCCAAACCTGCAGGGAGGGGTGGAGATGATTATGATGAAGGGAGGAGGAGGAGGGAAGGAAGGAGGGGGGAGGAAGAAGGAGGAGGAGGGAAGGAAGGAGAGAAGGAAGGAAGGAGGAGGAGGAGGGAAGGAAGGAAGGAGGAGGCAGCCATCTAATGAGAAGGGGGGATGGCATGTGGGAGGAAGATTTTATACTGTTAAGACTGAGATTAGTGATGGGGGGGGGTTATTGAGAGAGGAATGTGTGGGGGGGTGCTAGATGAGTGAGTGTGTGTGTGTGTGTGTGTGGGGGGGGGGGGGGGGTATGGTGGTATCTATAGGACAGCAGGTCAAACTGGACCCTGAGCTTTAGAACACGACTCGTTCTGTTGACGGACAGATGGACAGGGAGCGGGACGCAGCAGCGTCCTCTGTCCTCTGTGGACAGGCTGGAGCTGAGGGAGGGGAGGGGCCAGGACAGATAGAGAGCATCCAGAACAACAGCTAATGGCTAGCTAGCATGCCTTCCCTCTTTGTGGCAGAGAATGTATTTTAAGCCCATTACTGCCCCCTAGAGGCGGCGTGGAGAAAGCAGGCTTCCCCCTCCTGTTAAATCTGTTAATGTTGGAAATCAGTGATTATTGATCCGCCCTGCTAATGACCTATAAAGTTCTGATCACATCAAACCAGAAGGGATCAGCTGACAGACGCCTTCGTTGATGAGTGACGCGTTTCAGTGACGCCATCCGCTGTCAGACCTCCAGCCACTCAGCTTTTATCTCCTCTGAGCTTCATTTCTTCGGCTGTTTGTCAGGTTGACAGATTTATGTGAGTTTTTATTAATCCCATATCTGGTGCCCTGTGGGCTTGGCGCGGCATTGATACTGATGGGCTAATGTAGGCATGGCCGTCTGTTCCAGCACGTTCCGTCTGACGGGCCGCTCTCTGGAGCCGGCAGGCTGCAACAGGCTGCAGCACAAACACTGCAAACCGTCCGGTTACCTAAAGGCATCAGATATGCAGATGAAGCGCTCTCTAAACCCCAGACTGGCCTGGCTCCTTGTTCCACATCACTGACGGATCTTTAACAGCCTCAAAACTAAAAGCTCAAGTCTATAAAAACATCAGCTGCAGCCTCATTCATTAGGTTTAACCAGGCTGGTCTGAGAGGAACCTTCTGTGTCTGAACCGCTTCCCCATCAGAGAACCGCTGCCGGGTAGATCCTCTAAAGGGGATACCATCAGGCTTTTACTTTGAAAGGAGCTTCCATAATAATCTATAACCATGCTGTGTTCTTATCAGGTGTTTTATGAAGGCAACAGTTTCTTCCATTAAAGGATCATTAACAGAAGAAAAGTTCAGAATCTCTCAGAATGTAAAGGAATGTTCGCGTTGATCCGAAAACAATATCTATAATATTTTAAAAACTTGATCAAAGTCTAAATAAATGGGGACGTTCCCAGAGGGGAGAGAGTCTGATCAGTTTAGAGTCGGGAACGCGGCCGGCCTTGACGTCGGGAACGCGGCCGGCCTTGGACGTCGGGAACGCGGCCCACCTTGAAGTCGGA